GGGGGGGGTTCTTGTTATCTCATAAAGCTCTTGGACGACGAGCCTGCTGCTCAGTTGGTATCCCACCGGTAGACTGCCATGCGAATTGCCGTGGTTCGAATGTCTATTTTGGACATCCCACTTCCCAAATAATTCTCCAGTGTTTATGATGAGGGTGCTCAGCCCGTATCGTATTGTTCCAGAGAGTTTACAGTAATACTGTAAACCCTCTGTTTTACAGTAATACTGTAAACCCTCTGTTTTACAGTAATACTGTAAACCCTCTGTTTTACAGTAATACTGTAAACCCTCTGATTTACAGTAAAACTGTAAACCCTCTCTGATTGTACCATACTATTTTGCGTTCTCTCTATAGCATGTCATGGGTAAAAATATAAAGTTTTGAATTACAGTGACAACGTTGACGTACAAAAAAGTCGAGACTAGACGATATTTATGCTAAGGGGATGGTGGGAATGGGGGTGATGAATTGGATGTCTTATACGTCAGCCACCCCCCCCCCCCTTTTTTTGTCCATGTTTTCTAATCCTCTCTTCTTCTTGTTGGTGGTTGGCGGATGGTCGTATATGGTTTGCTCCTTCTTTTAGGTCAAACATCTATCGTCTTTATTTCTCTTCCTTCTTTTCTTTGAATGTTACTTCTACTCTCTTGTAACACTTCTAATCTTCGGCAGTTATATGACCTATTTGTGTTGCAAATGTGGAAACCTAACCACAACCACCATCATCACCATCATCATCATCATCATCATCATCATCATCATCATCATCATCATCATCATCAATGATTTTCTCACCAGGAACAAACACTTTCCTCCTTTCCCTGTCATGTGTTAGTCTTTTTTGGGGGGGTATTATTCCAAATTCCATGTCTTCCCGCTTTTGTTTGCATCTTTCTCTTACTTAAATATGTACTGGCGCTCATATGACCTTATGCAGTTGCGAGCGCCGTGAAACCTCTACTAAAACTGAAACAGCCTTTAAAAAAACTCTCTTTTCCTCTCACCTCCCCAGAGAGCACCCCGGTATGGGCGGAGGTCCTGGCATGCCCCCAGACCCCAACTCACCCCACTCGGACATCAAGGAGGAACACAGCCCAGACTCTCTGGCTGGACACAGCAAGCTGGACGAGTCTCCGCCCCATCCGTCCGCCATCTACGCCGACCTGCAGAAAGCATCCAGCATGGCCGCCGCTTCCGCCGGAAGTATGATGGCGGCCGCGCATGGCATGATGGCAAGTCACGGGAACCCTGTCGGCGTGCCTCACATGGGCCATCATCTCAGCAACGCCGCAGCTGCCAACAACCCGGGTGTCAATCCGATGTTACAGGAATATCAGACATTATGAAATCCTGCTCTACTGGGATATCAGACGTTATGAAATCCAGTTTACAGGAACATCAGACATTATAGAATCCTGTTTTATGGGGATACGAAACGTTATGAAATCCAGTTTTACAGGAATATCAGACATTATACTACAATCCTGTTTTACGGGAATATCAGACGTTATGAAATCCTGATTTACAGAAATTATGTTACAATGACATTGGACATTATGAAACCCATGCAAGAGGAATATCTGACATGAAATCCATATAACGGGAATATCCGATTTGATGAAAGAGATGGATGTGTTACGTTTACCACCGCCATCCCCCTCAACCTTTGCAAGAATGAGAGACGGTGAAACTGAACAGTTTGTTTCTGTTCTACGAAATCTGAGTTATAATTCACCTTTTTTTCCTCCGAGATTTAGCGCTCGTATGTGTGTTTATGCTCCTCTTGTATTTGTTTGAGCAGGTGTTTTTGTGTGAATGCGTAACTTTGTGTGTGTTTATCTGCTTTATAGCCCACTGCCAGAAAGTCAGTTTAAGATGATTTGTGAGTGATGTCTCAAGGTAAACTGTGTGAGAGATATTGCCTGCTTTTGGCAGTCTTTACTACCAACATGCAAGTTCTGTCTGAGTGATAAGATGCTGAGAAGGCCTGTTGAAAACAAGTGAGGCTTTTAGCTCTCCAAAGACAACGTGCAGCAATTTGATTTGGTGGTTATGAAAGTGTTGGGCTTTTGAACAAATTTCACAACACAAACTCACCGAAAATAGTCTAAAGGCAGGGATGCCTTTGGCTTTGTTGATCCACTGCTCCTTATAGAACCGAGAACAGGTCTCTCAGTCTACAAATCTTGTTCAGAAATGCTCTGCTTACATTTAAGCTGTGGATAGTTGTAAACGAAACACCGAAGAAATGAAGACAGGAAAAAGGGAAGAAAGGAAGGAAGGAAGGAAGGAAGAAAGGAAGGAAAGAAGGCTCTTCTGAACAGCGTTTGGAGAATACCAGCAATGCTTTTCCACCAAGATGGGTGCTACCGTTGGTAAACGTGGTGCTTCGGAAAGGAGACACTTTGGGGTTTTGTTGTGTTTCGCTGTACACCGCTTGGAGTTGCTGTGTTGTGAAACGGAGACTGCTTGTGGAGTTGCTTCCCCGGCGATGTTGTTTATAAGAGATACCAAAAACAGAAAGGGTGTTGTCGTCACGTGGCCAGGAACTATTGGTAAATGACTCATTCTTGTAGCCTTTCCTCTTGGTTGTGTCTATCAGTTGGTTAGAGTGCATCCAGGCATGGTGGAGAGAGAGAGAGACAATTAGAGAGAGAGAGAGAGAGAGAGAGAGAGACAAAGAGAGAGAGAGACAGAGAGAGACAGAGAGAGAGAGACAGAGAGAGATAGAGAGAGACAGAAAGAGAGAGACAGAAAGAGAGACAGAGAGAGAGAGACAGAGAGAGAGAGAGGG